ATGATGGCACATGCCTGTAGTCCCAAGCTATTTTGGGAGGCTGAGCAGGGAGATCGCTTGAGCCAGGAGTGTTGAGGTTGTGTGGAGTGAGGCTGACGCCACAGCACTGTAGCCGGGGCAACAGAGTGAGATGCTGCCTCAAAAAAGAAAAAAAAAAAAAAAAAAAAAAAAGGCCGGGCGCGGTGGCTCACGCCTGTCGTCCTAGCTTTCTGGGAGGCCGAGACGGGCAGATAGCTGCTGCTTCAGGGGTTCGATACCAGCCTGAACACTGCCTGAGCACAGTCAGACCCCGTCTCTAAATCTAAAAAAAAAAGTAAAAAAGGCAAAAAAAATACAAACACAAAACAGCCGGGCGCTCTGGCAAGTGCCTGTAGTCCCAGCTACCTGGGAGGCTGAGGCAGAAGGATCGCTCACAGCCCAGGACCTGGAGCTTGTGGTGACCCGCCCTCACTGCACTCTGCCCAGGACGCCGAGTGACACTCTGTCTCCACAAAAAAAACACATGGAAACTGATCCACTGCCTGCAGAACCCACTCCCCCTCTTTAAAAAAAACAAACAACAAAAAAAAAAAAAAAAAAAAGACATGGATGGAATTCAACGTCGCCAGACTGGAGGGAGTCACCGAGTGAGTGAGTGCACGCGGAAAGAGAAGGATCTGAAGACTGAAACACGGGGCCCTCTGACAGTTAGACTGAGAGACAAGCGGGGAGCCAGCAAGGGAGGCTGAAAAGGAGAAGCCAGAGGGGAAGGAGGAAAACCAGGCAAGTCCGAGGCCAGGGCGGCCAAGAGAAGGAAACATTTTGTGGAGGAGAGAGTGAGGGACAATGTCCAATATTATGTCAACTAAGATAAGGACTGAAAATTAAATATGAGGATTCAATAAAGCTGTCCACATACATATTTTTAGAAGAGCTGTTGGTGCCTAGTTGTCATTCAATACACGGAAGGTGGCCTTGTACGTACACTCACGTTTGTGCCTATGCTATACCAGCACTGTCTAGTAGAATCTTCTGTGACGACGGAGATGTTCTGTATCTGGGCCGTCCAAGACCGGAGCCACTTAGTCACATGTAGCTACTGAGCACTTACATGTGTGGCTAGTGCACGTGAGGAAGTACATTTTTCTTGGAGGAGTGAAAAATTGTAGTTTATTGAAAGTCAACTCAAAAAAATAAGGTGCTATGTGTGCAACATGTTCACACAGAGCGCCCCCAAGCATTCAAGCCACATAAGAAATTCCTGTCCCTTTTCCCAGTTTTCCTGCCTTGGGACCTTAGTATCTCTTCCATAAACAATCACACACACTAAATTTGAAAAAGGAAGCCCCAGTGTATTTTGATGTATTTATTAGCACCAAATGTAATGAAATTTTAGTTAAATAAATATTAAAGCGTAAATAGCCACCTGTATCAACTGGCTACCGTTGATAGGAACACGTTAACGGTTCTGTGGTCAAGCCTGTCTATACTTACGCCTATCCCCTGTGTATGTCTTTTTTTTTTTATAGACAGAGTCTCAGTTGCCCAGGCTAGAGTGTCGTGGCGTCAGCCTCACTCACAGCAACCTCAAACTCCTAGGCTCAAGCCATCCTCCTGTCTCAGCCTCCCAAATAGCTGGGACTACAGCCATGTGCCACCATGCCCGGCTAATTTTTTCTATGTATTTTTAGTTGGCCAATTAATTTCTTTCTATTTTTAGTAGAGACGGGGTCTTGCTCTTGCTCAGCTGGTTTCGAACTCCTGACCTCGAGCTATCCTCCTGCCTCGGACTCCCGGAGTGCTAGGATTACAGGCGTGAGCTACCACACCCGGCCGAATTATGTGTTTTAACCGGTCAATAAACGTGTGGCACAGAACAGCCTTTGATAGCACTCCTGAGAGAGGATTCTAGTCATGCTGTCCCAGTGGGGGCCATGTGAAGCAGAGATAAGCGGTTCTTGCCAAGCGCTACTCAAAGTACAGATGTGTGAGCAAAATAAGTGATTGTCAACTAAATTTGGGGGCGGCTCGTTACGCAGCAACATCTGGTCCCCCGGTGCATTCACCCCAACATGCCTGGGTCTCCTCTCCAGGTGCATGGCGGGGGGTGGGGACCACCCAGGGCTTCCCTCTCCCACCAGCCTCCCTTTTTCTGTCCGGGTGGCTGGTGGCCTGCACTGGGCTTGGAGCTCAACTGCAGCCGGTGGCTCCAGGCCTCTGTGGGGTCCAGCACTGGGAGAGGTCACACGGGGCGCAGGGGGTCATGTTGCCTCCACCAAGAACAGAACAAGCCCCGGCCTCTGAGCTACCCATCGGCAATAGCTTCCATTCCTTCTACTTGCGAGAGCTTGAAAACAGTGGTGGCCCCACTCCAAGAATATCATTTTTATTTTAGAACAAAATTGTCAGCTTCACACGATGCGTGGCATCACACGGAGAGGGAAGAGCGGCAGCCCGAAGCCCAGCTCCCGTCCCACGCACACGCGGAGAGGACAGCCCGGCCGCGCCCATGCTGAGCGGGTCACAGCCGCTACTGGGACACTGCGGTCCCTACCGAACCAGGGGACAAGTAGCCGAAGCAGTTAAACAACCTGATACTCATTTTTTGGTACATTTGTTTATTTAAAAAAAATTATAGGAAATGAGTAAAATGCTACCTAAAAGTATCTACATTACAAATAAATTATTTCTAGTTTAAGCACTGCAGGTCCACACAAACCAGTGCGCTAGCCTTTTTGCCAAGGCGGCGTCCGACAGACCTGCGCTTGTCCCCGTTGGCTCTTCCTGGAGACCTTTCCCTTCGCGCCACGGCCGCAGGCTGGAGGCCAGCCCTGCACGCGCCCGGCCTCCCCGCAGGACAGGCCACGGGCCACGGGGCCGGGGCTGGAAGGGCCAGGGTCACCCGGCGGACGCCTGCAGACAGCACCGAATTCACGTGGGGTCTCAGGAGCCAGCCACGGGCCAGCAGTCTCGGGCCTCAGTCACAAGGCAACGGCCGCGGAGCCCTGCGTGCCCAGTGCGCGTGGCGGCAGCCGGCCCAGAGCGAGCAGCACCCCTGGGGGGCGGCGGGCACCGAGGGGCACCCAGACGGGGCCAGGAGGCTGCGGAGGGCAGGGAATGGAGGGCCCTGGCCCATCTCGGCGAGTGCAGGTAAGGCTCCTGCAGTGGCGGGAAGGAGGCCACAGTCCTCCTCTGGCCCTGCGGGGAGGGCTTGTCCCTGTCTGGGGTCAAGAGGCCGAGGCGGGAGCCAGCCCTGGAAAGGAGAGGTGCCACAGGCAGCACATTTTGAAAAATTCTCTCCCTGCTGGGACTCGTTCAAGAGACCCTGGAGTACCCACCATCAAGGAGACTAAAACTCTTGCTCACTGAGGCCACACGAACAAGCTGAGGTGGCGCGTTTCCACGGTGAATTCACTCCACACAGGAGGTGCATTTATTCATTTATTTTTTGAGACAGAGTCTCACTCTGTTACCCTGGCTGGAGTGCTGTGGCGTCAGCCTAGCTCACAGCAACCCCAAACTCTTGGGCTCAAGCGACCCTCCTGCCTCAGGCTCCCGAGTAGCTGGGACTACAGGCATGCACCACCATGCCCGGCTAATTTTTTTCTATATATTTTTAGTTGGCCAATTAATTTCTTTCTATTTTTAGTAGAGATGAGGGTCTCACTCCTGTTCAGGCTGGTCTCGAACTCCTGACCTTGAACGATCCTCCCGCCTCGGCCTCCCAGAGTGCTAGGGTTACAGGCGTGAGCCACCGCGCCCGGCTGTGCATCTGTTTTTTAAAGGATGATCTTGCCACAGAAACATCGAACTTTGCGCTGTGTGACAAGCTATAGCACAACCCTCTCCTCTCAGATCAGAGCAGGGGCCACAACGGCAAAGGCCCCCAGGGCTGGCCTGGTCCTTCCTACACACGAGGGAGGTGGGCTGTAAGAAACCCTTCCTCCAACACACCCGGGCTCACCGTCTGTCTTCCCACCAGATAAGAGCTATGCGCCCTAATCTTTCCTTTTTATAGCAAGAAAAGCAACCCTGAGGGAGGGAGCATTGACCAGTAGCAGCAAACACTCAGCCTCTCGTGGGAGGCGACAGGGAGTGGTGGGGCTTGCGGCGAGCTGGTGCAAGTGTAAACAAAACACACCTGTGGGCTGGATCACTCTGCACCCTCTCCTAAGGGGGTCAGTGGCAGGAAGATGTGGCAGGCAGAACAGTGGCACCCTAAAGACATCCAGGTCCTGATCCCAAACTGTGGATATACTGTCTCACCTGGTAAAAAAGACTTTTCCAGTGTGATTCAGTTAAGGATCTTGAGATGGGGAGATTATCCTGGTGGGCTTTATTTGTTTTATTAATTTTTTGTAGATACGGGATCTCACTATATTATTGCTCAGGCTGGTCTTGAACTCTCGACCTCAAGTGATCCTCCCACCTTGGCTTCCCAAAGTGCTGGGATTACGGGCATGAGCCACTGCACCCAGCCCTCCTGGTGGACTTTGTAAGTAAAAGAGAAAAGCAGGAGAATCAGTGGCAGCCACTGGAGCCCGCAGCCTCTCCAAGCTGGAACGGCAAGGAAAGAGATTCTCCCTAGAGAATTCAAAAGGAGCACAGCTCTGCTGACGCCTCGATTTTAGCTCAGTGAAACCCATTTTGGAATTCCGATCTCCAGAACTGTAGGATAAGAAATTTACATCATGCGTTATAGTGGCAACAGGAAACTAATACAGGTGTGGCCACTCTCTGATATATATTTAAACATTTTTAGAGGATGGAAATCGTCTCTTAAGTTTCTGTTTAAATGTCAAAGTACTGTTGCAGCTGGGAGAACCACACGTGGCGGCAGTAATTTCTCTTATTTCTAGGATTAAAGGACAATGGGATTCAAGATGAATTTTGCAGTGGGCTAACCACATGCAGAACTAGAGAACGGGGACGTCTCTCATCAAAGCAGATATGTATCAATGCTGTCCAAACACACACCACCGTTTCTGGCCGGACAGATTGCAAATTACTCCCATCTCCCAGGGGACAGGGACGCGTTTGTGTAGTGGTGCGTGGAAGTTAAATCCAGGCATCCAAACCAGTTAGCATCCTGTCAGGTGAAAAGAGCTACATGGTTACACATTTGACCTCTTAAATACATAGGACCACCAAACAAATAATAATAATAAAAAGGCACAGTGTCATTTTCATCCAGGGGCCCCCAATGAGAGCGGGGACCTCAGGCAGGCCCCCAGGAATCGGAACTGTTGCCCTGAAGAGGGCGAGCTTCTGTCTGTCACTCCGAATCCAGGGATTGCCGCGACCCTGTGCTGCGTGACTCAGGTCTCCTCTCATTATGGGCTGGCTAACGACACAACCTGAGGGTGGAAGGACGTGAACTGTGATGACTGTGTCCAGATCGGAACTTGTCATTTTCAATGTCTCATCACTGGACTGAGTCCACCAAGAAATGTGACGGTGGTGGTGCCCCAGAAAACCATCTGCTGTTCCTTCCACATAATTCCTCGTTAGGCTGGGAACACAAAAGTGTGTCTCGGTGCCTTGCTTTACGCAGGGAAGTCTTTGCAACGTGTGCAAATTATTCTGCTGGCTCCACGGGCTGCTGAGTGTCCAGCAAAGGAACATCTGTGTTCCTGCTGCTTACGTCCCCATTGCTGGGGTGGGAGAAGGTGTACGGTTCGCTGTCAGACTCGGGAGCAAGGCAAAGGGGTGGCTCATCCGCGGTCAACTTCAGAGTTGGGGGCCTGGAGCATGTGGGGGGTGGGGAGGGGGGGCAGTCCCCCATGGTGCCCTGGAAGGGCCGGTAGGTGTCCACCTCTGGCTGGAGGAAGGACCCACCGGAATCCTGTAGCAGATGCCCGTACACCATGGTGTCTTCGATGACTGCATACACATGGGAGTCATTGTCCTTCCGTCCTTTCTGAAACTTTTTTAGTTGCCCCGGCATCTTGGTATTGACATTGCCATTGTAGACGCCCACGGCAAGGCCCTTATTTGTCTTCTTTTTCCTGTTTGGAGAGAGGGAGCAAGAGAGAGTGAGAAGGAAACAATCTTTTGATGCACACCATTTTCATAGCCAAAGCTTGAACTCCTCTGGGTTCTGACGGGTCTCCGCCAAGTCCCTCAAATTGCTTAGCATTTGAAACTGGAACTGTTGTCCTCAGTGAACATTTCGAAGGGACCAGCTTTGGTCTTAAGGTAGAAACTGAGAGATCACAGGTGGTAGAGTGGTTTAGAGAGGGCACCTTTAACACTGTCTACCCGATTCGTCTTTGGTGGACAGGTGGTACCCAATGGTGGGGACATCTGACAATTCCTTTCCCCTCTGTCCTACTGGAAGCTGTGTGGTGTCCCAGCCCTTGTGAACCACATCAGGCTCAGGCACGGCCAGGCCAACGTTCTGAGACTCTCAGTACTTCCCTGTAGCTAATGCTTCACTCCTCTTTTGCAAAGGTAAAAGTTCTGACCATCTAGATTCCAAATGACAACATACAAGACTCAGGAGGGAAGCTTGTATCTTAGTTTTCAGCCTGAGCTGGGCAGAGCAGAACTCAGCATTGGCAGAGAGACCCAGTGCCTCAGTAGTAACCCCAAACAGAGGAAAGTGCTAAAAGGAAGACCAAGTTCAGGCTACGGTGCCAAGGGTGCCTCACTATAACCATTAACGTTTGGTTGGTAATGTTCTTTAGCACTTGGACATGGAGGGGCATTAGCACTGCCAGAACACAGAGCTTGGCCTCCATCCCCACGAGCCAAACAACAGGGAATGCTGACTCTTTATCTCACCAGCAATGCAAATGGGGACATCACCTTGATTAATGTAATGGACCACATAATAATGCATGGGCTGGCTGTCCACTGGTTGTGGACAGGCTCTCTATACTTTTCTGAGATAAAAATAAATAGAGTACCTTTAGCTTGTAACACTGAGTCTCTGGCCAGGATGATGGGTTCCTAAGGGACAAGCATCTTGCATCTTGTAATGCTTGTTCTCACCAAAACTCTTCTCATGCTGTCCTCAAACTACCTATTTATTTGAACTGTCTCTCCTGTCCCTCTGCCCCACAGATGGCAGAAGACACTGTGTCTTGCTCACTGTTGTCCCCAGCACCTCTCATGGGTGCTAGTACCCAGGAGACCCCCGGGAAATACCTGCTTAGTGAGCAAACTCCATGGCCCTGTCTCTCCCCATCCTCACTGCAGAACCTCCCCATCCTCCTGCACCAGCCTGGGGACGGGCAGGCCTCATGCAAATCTGCCCAGTGGCCTTGCACAAGCAAGACCCTCAGCAGGGCCAGGGCTGGTGATTCTCAGGCCAGCACCGGAGCAGTTTGAAGATGAGGTGAGTGTCAGATCTCTTCGGTCCTGATAAGGAAGCTGGGGCCCAGTGTTAACGCTATACCTTCCCAACTCGGGGCAGGGAGTGGGGGGCATTCTGTGCACCCAGACAAGAAAGCTCCCCGAGACAACCAGTAACATGATGTTTTACTAAAAGAAGTCTTTTCCCCCCGGTGATGTGCGGATAGCCATGTCTCATGGAGTTGCTGGCCTGTCGCTGGACCTGCTGCAAGCCAGTCCTTCCTCATCATTTTTAGACAGTCTCATTGCAGATCAAGAATTTCAGGCCAGGTGTGGTGGCTCATGTCTGTAATCTTAGCCCTCTGGGAGGCTAAAACGGGAGGATCGCTTGAGCTCAGGAGTTCGAGACCAGCTTGAGCAAGAGCGAGACCCCTGGCTCTACTAAAAATAGAGAGAAATTAGCCGGACAACTAAAAATAGAAAAAATTAGTCATGATGGCTCACACCTGTAGTCCTAGCTAGCTACTCAGGAGGCTGAGGCAGGAGGATCCCTTGAGCCCGGGAGTTTGAGGTTGCAGTGAGCTAGGCTCACACCACCATGCTTTAGTCTGGGCAACAGAGTGAGACTGTCTCAAAAAAAAAAAAAAAAAAAAAAAAAAAAGAATTATAGTTGTTTGCTTAGGGCCACAGTTAATTAAAAAAAAAAAAAGAAAAGAATTTTTTCCTTGGTCTTTTGGAAGGTCAAATTATGCTAAGGAAAATAGATTTCCCCTCTTCCCTATGTCTTTAATCAGAAATATGAGCAGAATTTATAAAATCTGGTGGCAGCATGGATTCTGTCTAAAAAGGTCAACGTTCTCCTTCTATAGAGCTGTCATCCCGAAGGGGTAGCAGGTGAGAATGAGACAGTAAACTGGGTCTTCCTTCCTCTCATCCGCAGGGCTGGCCCTTAGTGCTTATCTGGAGTCTCATAAACAAGCACAATGCAAACAGTTTGTTTAGGAAACTGCAGAACAAGCCAGGGCACCATGCCTTCGTTCTCCTTAAGGTGACAGAGGGAGCGGCTTCAGAGGCGCAGTCTGGACGGAGCCTACGGGAGCATTTTCTTGCCAAGATCACCCCTGCGATGATCCATCTGATAAGGGACCGCAGCGGTCCACAGGGGACTTGTGCCGAGGCAGCTGCAGGAGGCTGAGACTGCAGAGGAAAGTGTCGCACGTGCCCTCCCCTCCCCCAACCCCAGGTATGGGTCCCCCCCCCCAAGTGTAAATTGCATCTGGCAGTGTTATTTAACATCAGTCTTTGTCGGTAATTAACAACGTATCTGGCCTGTCTGCATCAAAGCAGCCAAAGACGGTTTAAGAAGATTCCACCTACTTCTTTCTCATGAAGCAAATGATGAGTCCGAGGGCAAACAGCAGGAAGGCTCCACCTCCCACCACCGCGATGACAATGACGGTCAGGTCTGTGAGCGGAGACACAAGGAGGCAGGTGAGAAGACGGGGGTCAGTCTGTCGATGAACATGCCAATGCCCGCCCCCCACCTTGTGCGAGCTCGCATCACGGGGTCTCCATTTCCCTTCCCCTTGAATCGGGGCTGCCAGTTCCGGGCCTGACCTTTCAGAGGACGTCAGCGAGCTCTTTTTCTCGGAGAGAAAGCCAGCTACTGTGCATTAATAAGAAGCCTAACTTTGCTGAGACCGCCATGCTGTGAGGAAGCCCAAGTCTCCACAGGGGAAAAACCCAACCCAGTCAACATGAGAACCAACGCCCCGACACGCTGAAACAAACCGGGGGGACCTACCAGATCTACTCCAAAGGCTACTGCTGGCCTACAGGGGTATGTCCCACCATCACCACAGCCTGTCTTACAGAGGAGCAGAGCAGAGGAGTGTAGGAGAAAGCGGGGAGTCAAAAGTCAGGAGGGAAGGAGAGGGTTGTTCCACTTGTGCTGTCCTTTCCTACAGCTGTACAAAGGAAACAAGGAAATAAACTGGAGAGGCAGCCTTGCACCACAATGGATTTACAAGTTCTTGCTTGTTCACCAAGAAAACAAAAGGTGAGCTCCGAAGACAATAGGAGTAGAAATAAATGACAGAAAATGAGTGTAAGAGAGGAAGAAAACCCAGCAGGTGATCTGAGAGTGTGGAGAGCTTTTCGATTGTGGCTTTTGGCTCCTACCAACTCTCTTGCTGCTAACCAGTTGTGTGGTAGGAAAGGGAAAGGGAGAGAGACAGCTTCCGGTCCCTTCTGGTGGTCCCACTCTGCGACGCTCTGTGGCCATCGCTAAACCAAGGGCAGACGTGGCTCCGCCACAGATAGCCACCCCCCGTGCCTTCCCTTGCTGGGAACTCGTCTTCGGGTCCTGCAACTTCCAGGAATAAAGCCAAACTGCGCACCCTGGCTCGGAGGCCTGCCGCTGAGGGCATTTCACGGATTCCGATATTCCACTGGGCCCAAATAAAAAATACCAGCGCGTGTGTATCTCTGTCTCGCCTTCCGGGTGGCCACATTGTAGCCCCCAACACTGAACTCCCATGACACATTCATGAGGTAGTTTTTTTTTTTTTTTTTTTTTTTTTTTGAGACAGAGTCTCCAATTATTACCCAGGCTAGAGTGAGTGCCGTGGCGTCAGCCTAGCTCACAGCAACCTCAAACTCCTGGGCTCAGGCGATCCTCCTGCCTCAGCCTCCCGAGTAGCTGGGACTACAGGCATGTGCCACCATGCCTGGCTAATTTTTTCTATATATGTTAGTTGGCCAATTAATTTCTTTCTATTTATAGTAGAGACGGGGTCTCGTCTCTTGCTCAGGTGGTTTCGAACTCCTGACCTTGAGCAATCCGCCTGCCTCGGCCTCCCACATGAGGCAGTTTTATCATCTACTACAGATGAGGAAGTGCATAAGAGTGGAGAGACTGCCTCTACGGAAGAGAGAGATTAATGGTTGAGGACGATGGTGGATTGACTAAAATAGTCTAGACTGGCCCCAAAAATACAGCGGAAGGAATAGCGTGTGAGCTCCTAACCTGTAAGCATCAAGGGACCTTACATGCTTCCTCCAGTCTCTCCGTGGGCCTCTGCCACCAGGACAGGCTGAGGCTGGAGGATTAGAGGCCAGGTGGAGGGGAGACACCCAAGTCAGCCCAGGTGTCTCAGATGATCCTGGCCGGGCCCCAGACATGCGGGAGCCCCCAGCCGGGATCAGCAAAGTCCTCTAGCCCACCCGCAGGTACGTAAGTGAGTGAGCCCTGATGAGCCCAGCTCAGCCCAGAATCCTCTGGCCAACATATGAGCAATGACAGATGGCTGCTTTTAAGCCACCACGTTCTGGGGCCGGTTTGTTACGTGGCATTATCGATGCGACAGCCGACTGATACATGGACGGCCAGGACTCCATCTGTGTCTTCTGACTTGCCCCCCCCACCCCTACTTGCTCCTTAGCCCTTCGCTGACAAATTTTCTGTCTGTCCTGAAGGTCCTTACCCACAGTCCTTGGGGTAAGCGTCACCCAGAAGAGCAGGTCTAGCTGCTTGCCGCTTGCGGGGCTACAGTTAGAGATGTTGACCCAGAAGCTGTGGTGGTGGAAGCTTGGCTTGGGGAGCGCCTCCTCCTCCAGGCTGAAGATCTCCTCCACCCGGGTGCGCTGCTCCTGGAGGACCATGAACGCTCGCCCCGTCTGGCACACCACGCCCGTGCGCTCCTTGGAGAAGGTCAGGCAGGCCACCTGGCCCGTGGGCACGCTGATGTTCCAGGACACCGAGGTGAGGGCCGGCAGGCCCCGGTCCCAGTTGGGGGTCCTCAGGTAGACCTTGCTCTTTGTGTCTGGGGTCACCGTGAAGATGCCTTCTTCTGCGGGAAACAGAGGGGGATCCAGAGAGACGCGGCTTCACTCGGCCGCAATGGAGGGAAAAAGGAGTGGGGTAGGGGACCCCATGGAACTGTCTGGACCAGCGCTGTCCAAAGACTTTCTGCCACGATGGAAATGTTCTAGATCTGCACTGTCCAATAGGGTAGGCGCTAGCCACAGGAGTCTCTTGGGCACTTGGAATGTGCCCAGTATAACTCGGGGCCTGCATTTCAAATTTGTTTCCTATTGCTTGCAATTTAAATGGCTACGAGTGGCTATAGCACTACTTTATCGTCAGCGTGAGCTCAGTCCTAAGCCAGATTAGGAGCTCAGGTCTTTTGCAAAACACAGAGCAAGCACACAAAAAGCAAGCCAGTTAGCCGAACCAGTGGTTATCGCAGCCCCCTTTCAGAAATGCTCTCAACACAACTAACGTTTGCCTACTGCCCTGCTCCGGGGTGGGAATGGTACCTACTGATTTCTGTTTTAGAGATTTAAAAAAAACTTCAGATTCTGAGAAAAAAAATTCTAGAACTGCAAAGCTAAGAGAGCTCCTGACATGTCAACTAATGTATTCCTTACCGTCGGGAGAGAGAAAACACTAGCATTCCCCACTGATGAGAATGTCTCACCTACCAAGACTCCTCAGAAGGAGTTTCTCGGTAACCTTGGAGATGGCGGCAGCCTGGACTGACTCCCTCCCACTCATCCCCCTGAGAACAAAGGTATGAAGTAAACATCAAACAAAGGTCTTGGTCAATTTTAAAATGGCCTCTAATTTAATGTGAATGTTCTCTGGGCAACTTGTGATGGTGGCGGTGACTTTTAAAATCAACCATGTAGAGTTCACCATTTAGACCTCGCTGGGTGCTTCAGAACACAGTGGCCTTCTAGAAGGGTCCGCTCTGCCAGGCTGTGGGGAACAGGGCCCCCTGGCTGCCTGCCTCTGTCCCCCGTCTGGCTTTCTGCACTGCATTCCGGATTGTAAACGCAGGCTCATAAAAACGTCTGCCTGAGGACTTTTTATGTTACAACCTTAAAAACCCAGGACTGGGGAATATTTGGTTATTTCTCATTTCTGCCCCGTCGGCTTCCAAAAACGACTACAAACCTGATTATTTGTTCTGCTGCCTACCAACCATCACCTCCCACTGTTAGAAACATTTTTCTCACTACTGACCTCTGGAATTTTCCACACTAGGTGGATGGTAAAGTCAGGATTAAAAGACTCACCGTGTTTCAAATGTCTTGAGCGAGACCAGCCCACTGAGCTATCCCTCCTCTCCAAATTGACAACTTAATTACGGTGATCACAAAACAAATGCCCAAGCGAAAAGGCTCAGGGGGCAGGCAGGTGGGGAGAGAGCGAAAGACCCCCTTACCTTTGAAATGCGGTATAAAGGACACGGTCAGGCCCTGCCTGGAGGCCTCTTGGCGGAAGTTGGGGGCGAAGGTGCGAAGGGTCACCGAGATGTTCTGCTTCACCTGGATCTGCTCAATGGAGCCCCCGGGGCAGAAGGAGCCGAAGTACAGGTCCTGGCCGGGGACGGCGCTGGCCACGAGGTAGCTGAAGCTGGTGCCGCATGGCCGCTCGTGAGTGTGCTGCTGCAGCTTCTGGGCCGGCACCAGCGCCATACTGACCCTGTCCTTGGGCACCAGCAGCTTCCAGGAGAAGTCGTGCAGCTGCACGGGCAGCTGGAGGATGTCGCCCGGCACCTGGAGTGGGTAGGATTTCCAGTGGCAGGACCAGTGGTCCCTGCAGCCTGCAAGAGAGGGGCTCGGAGTAGCCGCACGTGCAGGAAACCGGCAGTGTGCCCTCCCCAGCGCACCCGGGCTGGACGTCTGCAAGCTGCCCTGCCCCTTCTCCCGTCTCCCCGCCACCCTCCCCTCCCCTTCTGCTCCTCTGAGCCTTGTCGTCCTTCCCTCCTGCTCGCCCACATCCTTACTGTCTACGAAGCCACTAAGCAGATGAACTTCTGGGGCGTACTTAGGGTTGAAGTTTCTCCCCCTTTTTGCTCAAGTTCCTTCCTCTGTGGGTCTGTGTCTTGGATGCTAAGTGTCATGGGGGCAGGGCGGAGGTGTCGCTCTGCCCAGACGTGTTGCCCAGTGTCCCCACGTGTGGGGAGGCGGTTCTGTGCAGTGGTCGGAGCCACAAGTGGTGTTGGGGGAGGTCCCAGCTCTCATTCCGGCTCTGCCACTTCCTAACGGGTGACCTCAGGTAGGCTGCTTTGCCTCTGGTGGCCTCAGCTCCCGCGTTTGCAAAGACTCTAAGAGCAACACGTCAGAGACCACAGTGGCCCAGCGGGGAGGTGACTATTGTCTTTGCTGCCTTCCATTCATCAGACACTTTTAAGCGCTGACTAGCAACCTGTCCCGCCCTGCTAGGGGCTAAGTGGATAAAAAAACCGAACAACGCGAAGTTCTTGATCTCAAGGAAAAAAAAAAAAAAAGCAAAAAAAAAAAAAAAAAAAGAAAAACAAAACGCGCCTCCCACCGCGTGTAGAGAGAGAGAGGAGGCGGTGGGGTGTGAAGTGGGGTGCGGGTGCGAGGGGTGGGGGGAAGGCTGAGCAAAGGGAGCAGATCGATTTCTCCAAGAGGGAACCAGAAGCTGGGCAGAGGGACACATGCCCGGATGGTTGCATCACGATGCACTCTGAGGGACCCACGTTCCACTAAGGCTGCGGTCCTAAAGGGGGGACATCACACTCCGCTATAGCCTGGCGCGGTGGCTCACTCCTGTAATCCAGCACTCTGGGAGGCCGGAGGTGGGAGGATCGTTTGAGCTCAGGAGTTCGAGACCAGCCTGAGCAAGAGTGAGACCCCCGTCTCTACTAAAAATAGAAAGAAATTAGCTGGACAACTAAAAATATATAGAAAAATGAGCCGGGCATGGTGGCACGTGCCTGTAGTCCCAGCTACTGGGGAGGCTGAGGCAGCAGGATTGCTTGAGGCCCAGGAGTTTGAGGGTTGCTGTGAGCTAGCTGACGCCACGGCACTCACTCTAGCCTGGGCAACAGAGTGAGACTCTGTCTCAAAAAAGAAACCAGGTCACAGGGTTTACGACCCACCCAGTGCCAAGACGAGGCAGGGCGGGAAGAGCTGCCCACGGCCCGGGACGAACGCACTAATGGAGGGCGTACTTATGGTGTTTTCCGCATTCATCCACAGGCGTGTCAGATCATCGCAAAGGAAGGAAATCTTGTGTTTGGAGCCGGGCGTCAGGGTCAGGTTGGCACTGCAGGTTCGAGACTCCAGACACACGAAGCAGCCGGGGACAAACTTGCGGCCGTGTCTGGCGGGCCGCGGCTCGATGGTGAGCGACAGGGCTCGCTCGTTACTCAAGTCGACCTCGTAGACTTTATCTGAAACCACAAACAGAAGGCAGGCGTGGAGCATGGATCGCCAGCAACCAGGCGAAACGGCAAAGACGAGTGGAAAACCTCTCCCCAGGGAGAAAATGGCATATTATGTTAGAAACATGTTTTATTATTATGACAACATATTATGGCAAACTTATTATGTTAGAAACATGTTTTATTATTAAGGCAACATTATAGTGCCCTCAAAAGAAAGTTGAAAAGAAAAATAATGGACTTCACTACAATAAAAACAAAAGAGACTATCACTACAAATGTGGAATAAACATAAATTATAAAAGCAAAAAAAAAAAAAAAGATTAAAATACCTGTCTGTGATAGGCACCATAAATAATATTGAAGGACACTGGGAGAATGATCGAGCAGTTCACAGAAAAGGAGATATCAATGTCCAAACATCCAAAATAAGAAAAGTTCCTGACATCACTGGCAATCAGAGAAAAGCTAAATTAAAGCAAAGTGTCACTGTTTTCCCTACTCAGATGGCGGGAAACAGAAACAGCTGGTCACGCTGGTGCCGGGGAGGCTGCGGGACACGGGCACCTCTCCGCGTGGCTGGCGGAGCCCGCACCTGTCACAGGAAGCGGAATTAGTATCAGGATGAAGCGCTGGCCCTGGGGGACCCGGCAGTGCGAGGCCACGTGTCCCTGCAGGACTGTGATTGTGGAAAACCAGAAACCACCTGACACTGGAACAGATAAATAAATTACGGGACATTCACAAATGGAATCTCATGCAGCTGTTAAAAAGAATGAGGGAAGGCCAGGAGTTCAAGAGCAGCCTGAGCAAGAGCGAGACCCTGTCTCTACTATAAATAGAAAGAAATTAATTGGCCAACTAATATATATAGAAAAAATTAGCCGGGCATGGTGGCGCATGCCTGTAGTCCCAGCTACTCGGGAGGCTGAGGCAGGAGGATCGCTTGAGCCCAGGAGTTTGAGGTTGCTGTGAGCTAGGCTGATGCCACGGCACTCTAGCCTGGGCAACAAAGAATGAAGGAAATCTAAATACACTGATCTGAAAACCTCCTAGATGCGGCATTGAGCAAGACAGCAAACCGCAGACAGTATGCACAGCATGATACCATACAGATGGGAGAATCTCTGTGAAACAGAACAGCTATTTATATGTACGGATTTACGTATGCAGACGAAGAGCAAGCAGATCTGGAGAGAAATACAACAAATGCACGATTGTGGTTACCCCAGGGGAGGAGCCTGCAGGTAGAGACAGTGCAGGGGCGTCAAGGAGGATGTTAGCTCTGTTTGCAATATTTGAATTTAACAAAGTATATACCTATTTTTTTTATCATTTGGAAAAATGCCTGATTAATGATATCACTGTGTCATTTGGAAAAAACTGCCTGATTGATAGCCCCACATCAGAGCTCACCTCCATTGTTTCCTCAAGGCCCCTTCCCTGCCCAACCCGGCTGTGCCCGGAGCCCCCTGCCTCTGCAGGCCCTGCTCCCCTTCATCCAGGCCCAGCCACGCGCTGCAGTGGTCTCCCCTCGCCCTGCCATGTCTCAGTGCTACCCAGGCCATGCACGCACCTCCTTCCACGCTGGGGCTCCCAGCCTCGGCTCGGCCGCCGTTCTGGGTGGGATAAATCTCGGCTGCGGGGCTGCCTTGTGGGATGCTTAGCAGCAGCCCTGGCCTCTGCCCACTAGATGCCAATAGCAACCTCCCCCCTTGATTGGATTGTGACAACCAAAAATGTCTCCAAACACTGTCAAATATCCCCCAGGAGTGAGAGGCAAAATTGCTCCTGGTTGAGAACCACTGGTTTCAAAAATCGAATGGTTTTAGAAGGTTTATCATGCAAACCAAACTCCCTTCCCACCTTTCCACCACTCCCCAGAACAAGAACTCTCAACTCTTTTAGCAGATTCTTTTAAAATCTACCTGCACATCACTCAGTCACACGCTCCTGTGGCCGTTCCTTGATCTTTCAGTTCCGGCACTATCTGCTGGCTTCCCACAAGGGAGGATGTGCATTTCCCTCTCCTTTGCAGCCACGGCACATGCCCGCCAAAACCCACACCTCATGCACTCCACTCTCATTCTCCCGCCTTCCCAGCAGTCACCGTCTCACTTTCAGCTGGATTATTATACTGCGTTTGCATTAACATGACTGTGTAAACACAATATTAACACGGTGTTTATACAGTCATACTATATTGCATGTTATAATTACTTTTTCTTTCCCGAACATTTTGTGTTCCCTGGAGCTAATTATTGTCCTTTTTATCATTTCCTTAGTTTCTATATACTTACCAGTAATTTGAGACTTAAACTCTCTCCTGCTTGTATAAATCTCCTTTCAATACATCTGAGAACATTAGGTATTTCAACGTCATCTTTCTGAAGAGGTCTGTCTGGAGCCTTCTTAATGGCACTAACGCAGAGAGGTTGCTTTTGAGGCCCTGCGTGGTCCTGGGTCTCCTATACTGTCAGCCTGGGATTCCCTTTGCCTCACTCTCAGATTAGACCCTGGGCTTCCTAAATCCCACATCTTTCTCGGTACTGATTTTTATTTTTTTTAATTTAATCTTTTTGAGACAGAGTGTCACTCTGTTGCCCCGGCTAGAGTGCCATGGCATCAGCTTAGCTCACAGCAACCTCAAACTCCTGGGCTCAGGCAATCCTCCTGCCTCAGCCTCCCGGGTAGCTGAGACTATGGGCATGCACCACCATGCCTGGCTCATTTTTTCTATATATATATGTATTTTAAATGCCCAGCTAATTTCTTTCTATGTTTTTAGTAGAGATGGGGTCTCGCTCTTGCTCAGGCTGGTCTCGAACTCCTGAGCTCAAACGATCCCCCCTCCTCGGCCTCTCAGAGTGTTAGGATTACAGGCGTGAGCCACTGGGCCCGGCCTCTCTTTACTGAATTTTAATTTCTTTTTAGGTGGATTACAGCCCTCAGGAGCTTCTTGGTAAAGCATGTATGGAGGCCAGCTTTTTGAGAATTTGTAGACCTAAGCATGTCTTTATCCTGCCTTCACACTGAATTAGCAGTTTGGCTTGGTATAGAATTCTGGGTTGGAGTGAACATTCCTTCAGAATTTTGAATGTCTTGCTCTATCGTTTTATAGCATCCAGTGCTGCCGACAATTTGTTTACTGCCATTTGTTTTCTTATTCCTCTGTATAAAGCTTTTTCGCCTCCTCTCTGGAAGCTTTAGAATCTCCATGTCCCCGATGTTCTGAAAGCTCGCACTGGCGTGCCTGGTGCGGGCCCATTTGTGCCCGCTGTGTTTGGTGGTCCCTTTCAATCGGCAACTCACGCCCGTCAGTCCTGGCAAATGTTCCTGAAATATTCTTTGAGGATTCCTTCCCCTCTACCTTTTCTGTTCTCTCTTTCCGGAACTCCTTTCATCTGGATTTTGGGCTTTCCTGACTGGTCCTCAAATTTTATCTTTCCTCTTACTTTCCATCTCTCCAGCTTTTTCTTCACTCCATTTTCTGGGAGATTTCCTCTTTACCTTTCAGCCCTGTTGAGTTTTCCACTTCTGCTATCACATTGTTAATCTCTAGAGCAGGGGTCCTCAAGCTTTTTAAACAGGGGGCCAGTTCACTGTCCCTCGGACCGTTGGAGGGCCGTTGGAGAGCGCGGCGCACATTCCACACATGCGCACTGTGGGCCCGGGACCAGTCGGCTGCTAAGCAGGACAGGCAAAAACACCTGGCGGGCCGGATAAATGTCCTCGGTGGGCCGCATGTGGCCCGCGGGCTGTAGTCTGAGGACCCCTGCGAGTCTAGAGCTCCTTTTGGTACTCTGAGGGCTCCTTTTAGAAATGACAGCCTGTTGGGAGTGTAGATTCTAGGCAACTTGAATCTGTGTGCCCAGGTTGTAGTCCTCAAACTTGGCTCAAATAAACTCTCTACTTATATTAAAAAAGAAAGAAAGAAAGAAATTACAACCTGCTCTTTTCACACGGATGCAGCATCTTTGACTGTTTACTTGAGGATCTTAATGCTCGCTGGTTTTGTTTTAGTTTTTGATACCTCCATAGTTTCTGTTTCCTTCTGTTCAGTGGTTTTAGTCTTCGTCTTTTTTATTAGCCTCCTTCAGGTGTCTGGGGATCTATTAATACATACTGCTTTTATTGAAAGCGGGGCGCTGAAAGCTATTCACAATAGCTCTGCTTGTTAACTGGGCTTGTCCGAGGGGTGATCCGGCCAGACTGCGTCCTGGGGAACCTGGAACATCAGTGTCTCTGGGTCTTTTATCTTGGGGTGGCTGGACTCCCCCAGGGAAGAACCCGCCATCCACCAGATGGAGAGATCCTGCACGTGGCCACCAGCAGAGGACGAAGGAGAGGGCCTCATGGTTTGCTCGGCCACTTTTACTCAAGCCCCAGTGTTCAGCCTCCACCCTCAGCGGGACTGGGATCTTTGGTTCAGGGACTGCCTTACCTCCTCCAGAGAAGAGACTCTCCCTTCTGTTGGCTGTGGGGAGAGCAGTCACTTCGCTGCTTGGTGTCAAGGAGGAGCTGGGGCTCTAGAGGCCTCTCCTACTCTTAGCCCCACATTTGCCCCCAGTTCTGGAGGTGACTTGCTACCAACTCTTGAGCATTTTCAGGATACACCAAGTTTCTTCCTGTTTTTTTTTTCCCCACTGTTCGCTAAGGATTCTTCACTTTCAGGTCTGCTGAAGCAGCACCCTTCTTTATGAAATGGTACATTGTTTCCTTTCTACTTTTCTTTTCCCAAGTTTTAGACTTCTAAAATTATTAAAACATTGTATTTTAAAAATGTTCCAAAAAAACTCATTACAGTGGGGTTTAAGAAGGGAGCAGAGCTGGGTGGCGTGGCTCACGCCTGTAATCCTAGCACTCTGGGAGGCCGAGGCGGGAGGATCGCTCAAGGTCAGCAGTTCGAAACCACCCTGAGCAAAAGTGAGACCCGCCGTCTCTACTAAAAATAGAAAGAAAATTAACTGGCCAACTAAAAATACAGAAATAATTAGCCGGGCATGGTG